TGGGAGCGCGGCCTCCCGCGGGAAGGGGACGGCGGGGATGGGTGAGACACGGCGTGGGTGTGGGAGCAGGAGGATGAGGGGAGAGGAGAGCACTTGGCGTCAGAGCAGGAGTGACATCGTTTTGGGATGCGCCGGGACGGTGCTGGCAAGGCGCCCATCAGTGTGGAAGGCGGCCGTGCAGGAGAGCTGCTCCTTGGTGCAAATGAAACCAGAACGTGAAATGGCGATCTTCTGCCGCTCTGTGTGGGTGTTTGCCCGTGTCCTTCCCCTCTCAGGAGGGATGTCTGGTAGCTGCATGTCAACAACCGCCTTCTTGGCGTGCAGGTGCACTGGATTTCTTCTCTGCCTCCTGCTTGCACCCCTCCTGGCCCCGCTCCCTTCGCTTGCCCCTGCCGGTTCTGTTCCCACAGCTGTGGTGCTGCGGCATGGGAAGACTTTTCTGAGTGCCTTTGTTTCCCCGTCTGTACGGGAGGGGAGAATGACTCCAGCTGGGAGGGGCTCGCGCAGTTTAGTACGTGAATATTTGTGAAGTGGTTGGAGGACTGTGGAAGACGAATGGGAAGCGGTGCAGGCTGCCGCTGGTGGTGTTGCTGCCAGCAGGGTCTGAAACCAGCTGTTCTTTGAACACGCTTAGTGCAGGGTTGGAGGAGTCCATCCGAATCGGTCGTTGTGGTGTAGAGGGCTGTCGGCACCAGGGGAGGCACAGGCCTTTCAGCCCACCTCCGCTTGCTCTGCTCTTCACAGGAATCAGGACTCGGGTGATGTCTTGGTGCTGGTGGACTCAGACGACGACGACGACGAGGGGAAGGGGGAAGAGGAGACCATGAGCAGCTCCGCCAAGCACGAGGCGATGGCGCTGGTCAACGGGAACAGCCTCCAGGCTGCTTACCTCAACTGCCTTATGGAAGGTGAGCCCTGGTGCCTGCCTGCCGGCCGAGTTTTGGGGCAGGAGCTGCCTGCTCTCCTGTGAAGCTGTGGGGCTTCCAGGAGCAGCTGCCGGGGAGGGAGGAATTCCAGCTGTCTGGCTTGTTGGCTCTTGCTGAGATGCTGCTGCTCTGTGCCCTGTGTAGGTGACGATGGCGAGCAGGACGGCGGAGCCTCTCCGCAGGAACCAACGGGAGAAGAGACGCGAGGCACGTAGTTCCCATCCCTTCTTGCAGAAGCACGCAGAGCTCCGGCTGGACGCCCAGCGTCAAGCGCGTCCTCGTTGCCGCGTGGCTGCGCGCAGGCCGTCGGTGTCCTGCAGCGGGCTGGGTCCGTCAGAGCATCCCCGCTTCTTTCTCCACCCCAGCTTTCACTCCGTCCTTCCCCAGCCATATTTCTCCATTTCTTCTCTCCTCTTCATGTTCCTCTTTGTCTCAGGTGTCCTTTTTAACAAGGATTGCACTTCCCAGCGCAGGCAGAGCTTGGGAAGCGGGTCCCAGTAGCCCGCTCATCTTCATGCCTGTGACGGACTCAAATACCAGTACGGGATTCTGGCTCGGTCACCACGAGCGGTGCTGGGGTTGCGGGGAGCCTGAAGGAGAAAGGTGCCGCGGGGCCGCAGTGGTCCCTGGATAACGTAGAAACAACGGGTGCACGGGCGGGACATGGGTGATGCTGAGTCTCGGGAGGCTTAATTGGGTTTTTTTTGTTATAAATATTTTTTTTCCCCAAGTCCATCTGAAATGTTGCTCCGTATCTAAGTTGGGAGTTCATCTGTACCTTGCAGCGTGGATGCCTGGCTGTGATGGAAAGCACGGAGGGAATTTGTACAGGGAGGGGATGAGGGGAGCAGGGCAGCCGTGGAGGGGAGCGGTGGGGTGGGTAACAGCGGGGCCAGGGCGTGCAGGAGGGGATGGAGGGACAGATCCAGTCTGAGCACGCTGCAGGGGTAAATGGAAGGATGGAAAAGGCACGCCGCGGGCAGCGGAGGTGAACAGGGAGGGAGCTGAGCTTGCATGGAGGGAGGGAACGGCCGACGAGCAGGATGGGGTGGAACGGAGGTTGGAGGGGAGCGGAGGAATAAACCACGTGAAGGGGTACGGGAGCACGTGGAGGGCGATGGAGCAGTGAGTGCACACAGGGGATCTGAGCGCGTCTGGCGGGTGGCGGGGGGGACGCGGGCACGCACACGGGGAGCAAAGGGGACCTGGCGGTGCGTGGCATGGAGAGGGGGCACGCGGAGGGGAGCCACGGGGTCCGAGCCGTCCCTGGGGCGTGGGTAGGAACAGGGTGAGACGGAGGAGAGCTGAGGGAGCACGGGGTGGGGGGCCCCGAGCCCTTGGCCGGGCGGTGGTTGGGAGCCGGTTGTGCGCGGTGGTCTCTGGAGGGACGTGGAGCCTGAAGGGAGCGGCTGGAGCCAGGGCCGAGGGCTGGGGGGACTGAGGGCAGGCGGGAGCCCGGGGGGAAGAACCCTGGCGGGAGCGACATGCAAGCAGTCCCCGAGGGGCCTCGACGCTCGGCGCCATGCCGGGAAAATCCCAGGGAGCTGTGGGAGCCTCCGGCTGCCCCTGGCAACGGTGTTGTGCTGCCGCCATCGTGGCTGCCCCGTGTCCCGGCTCCTCCGCACCGGCCCCTGGGCGAGGGGATGCCGGGTGAGACGGCCTCGGACACGGAGGAGCGTTTGCGCGCGGCTTTGCGGGACCGGCTGCGGTGAGTGAGGTCCCCCCGTCCTCCCCGCGGGACGGGTGCCGCTGGCTGGAGGCGAGCGAGGGCTCGGCAGCGGGGCCGGCGCGTCCCCCCTGGTCTGTCGGTTTGGGTTCCCGTCGCTGGGTCCCCGGGGTGCCAGGGTGGGCGGCACTGGGTGGGTGCTGGGTCCCCCACTGGGGCTCCCAGGGAGGAGAGGGCCCCCTGCTAGGTATCCGGGCTCCGTCTCCGCCTGCACCCCATCCAGAGATGCCGGGACGCTTGGGTGCCCGTGTGCTGCCCGAGGTGCTCCCGGGTGGCTCTGACATGGGCGTCCCCCCCCAGCACCAGAGCTCCTGCTGCCGGGGAAGCTGAGGCTGGGCTGCGCCTCCCTCCCGAGCTGGGGGGAGGCTGAAGCAGGAGGGATGGGCAGGAGCGAGGGTGGGTGACGGGCGAGCGGGCCAGGCTCCCCACGCTGAGCCCTGGCAGGCAGCAGGGGTCCCTGGGGGGTCCCGGCCGTGCTGCGGTGGCGGGTGCCCCTGCCCCTGCTCTCCCCGCCCGGCCACGATGAGCCACGCCGCCCGCGGCAGGACGGTGCCAGCGTGGGACGCCACCGTGCTGCTGCCCTCCACGCGCTTGCTGCTGAAGAGGCGGGAGGTGGCGGAGGTGGAGCGGGCGCTGCAGAGCCAACGAGAGGTAAGGGCACTCCCAGCCCCTCCATGGGCCCCGCCATGGGGCTGCAGCCGTGGCCGTGGCGTGCCACAGGATACAAGCAGCCGGTGGGCACGTCCCCAGCCCTTCACGGGCTGGCATCCGTCCTCTCACCGGGCACCCTGGCATGGGGCGACGCTCTCAGCACCCGGCGGTCCCCAGGAGTTTCGGCAGAGGATGGAGAGCCTGGAGCGCCGCCAGCAGCAGCTGGGCCAGCGGAAAGACCAGCTCCGGGACGTCGTCCTCAAATTTGACGCCTTCCTCAAGGTGCCAGGGCGGGGGCCGGGGCCAGGCAGGCCATCGGGGCCGTGCTGACCGCGTCCCCACACCGCAGGTTTCGGCGGCGAGGCAGGAGCGGGCGCTGCGGCGGGCGGACGAGGAGCGGGCGCGG